ATAGAAGGTCTGTGCAGTAAGGCTAGGATGTATTTAATTCGACCCTGTCCAGTAATTCCCTCCATGTTGTGACTTATTCTGTATTGTTGTTACCAGAGCATCTCATATTCTTCTCGAAACTTTGAATCCGTAAAAAATTATTTTGTTTTTGTTTAGTTAAGTGTAAGGTGGTGTGTTTGTGTGTTGGGGGTCATCATGTTTGTCTACTTAACCCGAAAAGTAAATTGCCAACAAAATTTCAAACACTAATGAATTATCCTTGATTAGGATAATGTATGATGTGGTTCCTTATAAAATGTTTTCGTTACATTTTTAAGCAAACTTGGTGTTCTTTGCAAGGGCCGTTCGTTCGTTCGGTTGCTCCGTCTTCTTTGTCTGTGTGAATCATCAGCATTCAATTTCAATGACCAAAGGCAACCAAAACAGTCATCCATCTATCCATTCCGGGGGGTTACTACGCTGATGACGATGATGATGTAGAAAATTAAGCAAAAAAAAGGCTGTTGACTACAAAGTGCCAGCAACGAGAGACAGCCAAAAGGGGCAACTTTTAAAAAGACTTGACTTTGTTTTTCGAGATTTATCAGGAACGCAAATAAGCGAAAGCAAAATGGTTTGTAACAAAAACAGCCGTAATTTGAAATTGTTTCTATTTCCGTAGCCCAAAAACACCAGCGTCTTCATCCATCCATTCATTCATAATCGCAATTTATGAAAAGAGCCAAATTAATCAGACTAATAACGAATGAACATCGGCAGCAGCAACAACAAAGGCCTGGCCATAAAAATGGTTGTGGCATTACAAAAATGTTTTTAAATAAAAAGAACAAAACGAAAAAGTATGGCAAGAAACTTGTGAAAAACTTGGTCGCTCTTAATGAAAAGATTTATGACCAACCCAACCGACGGATGTTTAATAGGATGACGAATATGAAAGCAAAATTTTTCTTTAAAAACTGCTACAATATTTTCATGGCTACAATGAATTAGCCGTAGACTGAATGAAGGGAGTGGAAAAGTTATGTTAAGTGGCTTTTAGAAAAGTGCCAAATTTTGGTCGTCGACAAGAACTGAGTTTGGGGAATAATTAGAAAATTAGTTAATAGCTGCTCTGATTTTATATATTACTAAAAATCGGAGGTATAAATACATGACAGCCTACATTGTCCAGATATAAGGGGTCCTTCGAAGTCGGAAGACGTCAGCTATAAGAGAGCAGGTCCTCTGTGCTGAAAACAGGTCAGCTGTGGAGAGAAAACAGTCTCTGTGGACAGAAGAGGTGCGGAGGAGAGGATTTCTCTAGATAGAAACCAGTAAGGAAAGCAGTAAAGTCGGACTGGGCCTACTATATGATACCCTTCACCACTTTGGGTACATATGTATCCGAAAAGACGTCGCCTTTTTGAAGGAATTTTGACATGAAATTGAACGAACTTAAATATATGATTTTTATATCTTTCTGGAACCTATGATAAATTTCATTTAATTTGGGCAAGGTTAGAGTCGTTTGCGTACAGTGGGACAGATTTGTGTAAATCAATTTAAAGCAAACTTGACACACGCTATTTGGTATGCTGCACTGTTTAAAATTTAATCTCAATAAATAAGTCGAAATTATATATGGAAGCTACGAGATATTTATATCTGAACCGATTTGAAGCAAACTTGCCAGAGATTAATTTATACAAATTTCAAAACGTTGTGTCAATCGGCCAAGCTGTGAATCTTTAGTGCACAATTTACTTAAAATCGGACGAAAATATATATAGGCGGTGTACACATCATTCCAGACTTAATTCAATACGCATGCCAAAATTCGTGCAAATCGAATGATTTTCAGAGACTTTGGTGCACCATTTACCCAAAATCAGGCGACACTATATATGGAAGCTGTACCTAAATTTAAACTCGAATCTTAGCACACGTCATTCTAGAGGTAATTCAATACGCTATGCCAAAATCAAATGGACTTTGGTTCACCATTAACTTTAAATTGGGCGAAACTATATGGGAGCTATATCTAAATCTGAACCGATTTTCACCAAACTTAGCACACATCATTCTAGACTTAATTTAGTACATTCCATGCAAATCGAAAGATATATAGGGACTTTGGTACCCCATTTACCTTAAATCTGACGAAAATATATATGGGAGCTATATCAAAATCTGAACCGATTTTCACGAAACTTAGCACACATCATTCTAGACCTTATTCAGTAGGCTATACAAAATTTCGTGCAAATCGAAAGATATATAGGGACTTTGGTACACCATTTACCTTAAATCGGTTGAAACTATATATGGGAGCTATATCTAAATCTGAACCGATTTTCACGAAACTTAGCACACGTCATTCTAGACTTAATTCAATACGCTATGCCAAAATTCGTGTAAATCAAGTGACTTTCAGGGACTTTGGTGCACCATTTACCTAAAATCGGGCGAAACTATATATGGGAGCTATATCTAAATCTGAACCGATTTTCACGAAACTTGGCACACATCTTTCTAGACCTATTTCAGTAGGCTGTAGCAAATTTCGTGCAAATCTAAAGATATTTAGGGACTTTGGTACCTCATTTACCTTAAATCGGACGAAAATATATATGGGAGCTATATCTAAATCTGGACCGATTTTTCCCAATTTCAATAGGGTTCGTCCTTGGGCCAAACAAATGAGCTGTGCCAAATTTCATTCAATTCGGATCATAAATGCGACGTGTGCTTTGTTTACAATTTAACAACAGCGGACGGACAAGCGGACATGCATAGATAGACTAAGAAATTGATTCTATGCATATTCTCTAAAGGAACCATGTGTCTATCGTTCCTTTTGCCTGTTAGAAACATATGCACAAAGACACTGTACCACAGTGTGGTGAAGGGTTTAAAAATCATATATGAAAGTCACTTTTAGAAAGTGTCAAGGATTGGGCGGACCTAGGACTGAATGTATATTTTTCAAATTGTCTATAGAAGAGGTTTTCTGTGGACAGTTAGAACCGATCTTAAATAGACTGAAGGGATGTACTGTGAATAGAAAAGATCCATATGCACAGAAGAAGTGCTCTGTGGACGGATGATTTCTTCTAAGAGTGGAAGTATGCTTGTGAAAATAGAAAAGCTGTTCGGTCCATAGAAGAGGTTTTCTGTAGATTGAAAAAAAATAATTTATTAGAAGTCATTTATAGAGTTTCTCTAAAAATAGTGGAATATTATGGCAATAATTAAGTAACCTGAGGCTACAACAGACCTCAGGACTTTTCCAGATAGCCAATAAAATCTAACATACCCATTTTCACAACACTAACTCGTGACAAAATTCCCCAAAATTCAGTGAGACATTTCTGACTCCACCTCCACCGACAATTAAGGAAATGTAACAAATTGAATTTACACATCATTAGCTGTCTTTTGTTTTCGAAAAATACAACATCTATAAAATAAACCGTAAATTTCTACCCCAAAAAATACAAATTTAAATATTTTAAACCTTACCTCCCAATACAGAACAAACCCCTATGAAAGGGGAATGACTACAAATTGAAATAAAAAAGGATTATTTGCGTTAACAAACCTTAAATCGATTTTAAGAATGTAAATGCTTTTGTTTTTGTTTTTTTTTTTATCACATTTCACAAAAAAAAGTTATATTCTTCGTGGACCTTTAATAACCCACATTGCAAATTCGAAAATGTTGATTTTGGTCATTTCTTTTACGCCCTGACCGAGGCGAAAGGAAATAGAAAAAAAACGATTTGCTAAAAAAATCTTTAACCAAAAGAATGAAAATGAAGAAAACCCATTAAATTAATGAACGAAACAAAAGGGGTAGCAAAACGAAATCATAAAACGGAAAACATATTTTTTCGTTTTTGTTTTGTGTTCGTCGTTGTCTTCTACTCCTCCAAAAACCACCATTGAAAATCGATGTAGAAATTCTAAGCAATTCAATTTGGTTATTATATCGGTATGCATAAAACTGTAGTTGGATTGGTAATAAAATTGATAAGAATTGTGAGGTACCCTATAGACGGCAAAAGGGGCACACTCCTCTATAGAAAAACTTTTTTATCGGTAATAAAAACTGTTCTATTTTCTAGCCATTGAATCCCTCTTCTGCCAAAACACAAAACTCTCCCTTGAAGAGAAGCCAAATTTTAGAGAATACCTGTTACATTCATAGAATCGTTATTTCACCTATAGAATACCTATATTTTACCCATAGAATAACTGCCCTATCCACAGAAAACTTTTCCTTTCCATACATTGGCTACTTATTTTATCTACAAGAAATTATCCATTCATAGAAGACTTTTTCGTTCCTAGAAAACTCCTTCCACGACTATATAATTTATCAATACGATCCATAGACAATTCTTCTTTCAACTTACTTCTTGGAAACCCTCTTTTATCCATAGCATTTCAAGATTTCGGCCACCTGTGGAAGGCTCCACAAATTAATAAATCTCCAGATACCTACTTTTTCCATTAAATGCCTGTTTTAGCAATAAGAAATCATCCATTCGATCCTAGAAAACTGTCTACATTGATATATAACTTTTCAATGCGGTACATAGACGATTCTTCTATCAATTTACTTCTTCTATCCATGGAAGACCTCCCTTATTCATTGAAGTAGTATTCAATCCATATTAGACCACATATAACCCTTCAAACCTTTGTCCACATGGGGAAGCCTCCACCAATTCATAAATATACTGATCCCTTCTTTAATCCACAACAGGTCTCTTCTTTGACTGGAAGAACTCTTCAAACTATTACAGACCTCTTCTATTTCTGTAAGACCTCTAATCCTAATAGAAGACCGCTAACATTCTGAGACTACCTTTATATCCATAAAATACCTCTTCTAATACCGGATGACCTATTTTATGCCCACAAGCCATTTTTTGTCCAAAAAGGACTTCTCCATTCAAGACTTCATCTTCCTATGGAAGCATCCACAAATCCATAAATCTCCCGATACCTTCTAGCCATAGATAACCTCTTTAATCCACAAGATGTCCCTTCTTTAACTGGAAGAACTCTTCAATCTAGTACAGACCTCTTCTATTTATGTAAGACATCTAATCCCAATACTAGACCTCTCATATCCGCATAAAATCCATACTACACATATACGACCTTTTTCTGATGACGATTTTATCCAGCCATGGAAGACATCTTCTATCTACAAAAATCTTATTCCAACAAAGGACTCCTCATTCCGTAGAAAATCTCATTTTTCCCCATAGGACCTCTGCTAACTAAAAAAAAATCTTCAGAAGACTTCTTCTATCAATCGAGGATCCGTGTTACAATAAAAAATTGCAGCAATCCACAGAAGACCTCTTCAGCTGCAAGGGCCTCTTCTCTTAGAATACCTGTTATGTTCACTTAAAAAATTATTTTATCCATTGCAGTCCTATTGCATCAATAGAGGATATCTTATTCCCATAAAGATATCCTCTATGCATAGAAGACCTTTAATATCAATAGAACACCCTTTTATACACAACAAATTCCTTATTAGGACCTCTCCTGTTCACACAATATCTCTTTCATCCCCAGAAGAAGTATTTTATACATCAATAATCCATCTATCCATACACGTCCTTTCTCGAAAGACGATTTCATCCAGCCATAAAAGACCTCATCTATCTACAAAAACCTTATTATTCCCAACGAAGGGCTCCTCTATCCGTAGAAGATATCATTTATCCCCCTATGACCTCTGCTAACCAAATAACATTTTTCAGAATCACTTCTTCTATCCATCGAGGATCCGTGCTACCATAGAAAATTTCAACCATGCACAGAAGACCTCTCTTTCTTCAGAGGCCTCTTCTCTATATAGAATACCTGTTCTGTTCACTTAAAAATTGATTTTATCCTTTGAAGTGCTCTTGTTTCAATAGAAGATATCTTATTTCCACAAAGATATCCTCTATGCATAGAATACATTTAAGAAGACCCTTTTATCAATAGAAGACCACTTATTCTCATAAAACTTTGTTAAACATAAAACATCTTCTCTTCTGAACATATAAGAACTTTCACATTCCTAGAAACATTTTTTTCTCCGTCCATATAAGACTTCTTTACCCATAGATGATTTTAATCCACAGAAGATCTCATCAACACACAGAATACCTCTTAAGTCCATAGAAAATCCATTCAACGGACGGGATACCTCTGCACTCCAAAGAAGACCCCTTTCATATTCTAGAAAGCTTTATATCTCCCTAGAAGTCCTTTTCAATCCAGAAAATGTATCTACCGATACAAGATCAATCCTCTTAATCCACAGAAAATCTGTTCAGTCCCCAGAAGACCCTTCGAATCCAAATAATACTTCTATCCACAGAACAGTTCCATAGAATATCAATACCAAAGAAGACCACTTCGGCAGATAAAAGATTTCTTCCACCAATAGAAAGCCTCATCTCACAGTAGAAGTCCTTTCCAATCCATCGAATACATAAAACAATAGAAGACCTCTTTAATCCATAATAGATTTCTTGAAACCATAGAAGACATCTTCTGTCCATAGAAAACAGCTTCTATCCTCTGACCTCCAGACCTCCATAGAATACCTCTGCTGTCAACAGAATAACTCTGCTCTCCAAAGAAGTCCACTTTTGCACATACAATTCTTCTCTGATCAATAGATGCCTCATCTTTATAAGAAGTCCTTTCCAATTCATAGAATACATCTGCCGATATAAAATCGATCCATATAATATATCTTTCACATACATATTACTTAATAAAAATTAGTCATGGTACTTTTTTCTATCAACAAAATACCTTTTCTACCCATGGATAATCTATATTATCAATATTAGACCAAATATGATATTTTTTAATCCAAAACTCCTATATACGCAGAAGACCACTATTTATATCCTACAAACCTTATTATCACACAAAAATCTGATTTATAGAATCTTCCTATCCTATGATCCTCTGAAGTTAGCCTACTACCACTGTCGTTTAAAACCTTCTCAGATTTCTATTCGTTTCAATATCTATTTATCGATAATAAAATCGAATTTGAAACAACATCTGTTCTCTTCCGTACGCTTCCTGCTGTCGTGTGTTTTCCATACTTTTTTATAACCCTCTGTTCTCGCATTGTCCTTGGTGGGACTCACAAAATTGCTATCATTATTACTTTACAACGAAGCCAAGTGGCAAGTGCCACCACTGCTACTGGCAAATATAACCCTTCGTTTGGCCACCATATCTTCTAATAGATATATTTTTTACATTCGCCTTTCTTTTCTTCAGACAGTATTTGCTCTTTTTTTGTGCTTTCCTTTTCATCAATGATTCTGTTTTTGTGTGTTTGCCGACGACTCTTGTCGTCTTTGACTTTATTTTTATATTCTCTTCTTCGTTCGGTTGTGGGAGTGAGGATATTTCTTTAACGGATGCATCCTTTTTGGCGCTCTTATAGTACTCACACAAAATATAATAGTAGCAGTACCACAACAACAAAAACATCACATGCTTTCATCGCCTCGAAGTTGGTGTTGTTGTTGTCGTCCTCTCATCGTCGTCGCATAAACGTTTTATTGTGTAGCATCGTTATTGTATCCTTTCGTTCATAAATCAAGTCTTTGGTTTAATTAAATCTTGTGTTGGCGGTAAAATGTTTATGAAAAACGTTTTACAACCATCGACGCCGAATGTGGCGGCTATGTATGTGTGTACGTGTGTTTATTTGTATGCCACGCTATGTAGCATGATATGGGAGTGGAGTAGTCTCTTCTATGGTTTTCTTTAGTGGCATGCAAAAATTGCTTGAATATTTTTTTCTTGAAATATAGTACGAGTAATGAAGTATATAAACACAAAATGGCAACAATAAAAGTGACGACATTAATGAAAAGCTCCTGTCCGCTCTTAAATAATTTTAGGTAATTCTATGTCATACATAGACCTACCTAAAATTATTTATGTAGGGGTCTATTCTCCATCTCTATATATATATAAAAATTACGTGTATGTTCGTGATCGCTAAGCTCAAAAACTACTGCACCGATTTTTACCAAATTGTATAAACAACCTCTATAGGGATGAGGAGTGTTTCTGTGTACTTTGAAGTTCATCTGACAGATGCCGCAATATTTATTTTTTTTTGTGTTTTTGCACCGCAACTCAAGAACTACTACACCGATTTTGATCAAACTTTATGTATTTGCTCTATGGAGCGTGAGGAGTGTTTCTGTTTAATTTTAAGTTCGTCCCATAGATGGCGCGCTATATATTTTCTTTGCGTTTTGCCCGATTAGGCATTGGGTGCTAAATTGATGCAATTCTGATAGGGCAAAGCAACGTTTGCCGGGTCTGTTAGTGTAATATAAAATTTAATAATAAATGTTAAGAATTTTGTTTGCGAACAAATCATAACGTTTTCCTAGAAGAGGAGAGTAAAAAATGAAATCCGGAGAAGAATAGTGTTGGCCAACAAATTCTACGATATGATATTTAACATCGCTACATCCTTGCATTCGGGATATATAGTTTATTCTTTCTGAAAAAAACCCAATATCAAGAAAATCAAAAGCAAAATCGACGAAAAATTAATTTTAAATTATTCTCTTTATTCTGATGGCAGAATTCGTACATTTCGAATTCGAAGCGATTTAAATAATTTGGAATTTATAGACAATTAGTACTGTACACATTTTTGCCCTCTTCTCTATATTAAAAAGCTCATAACTATACCAAAAATTTGAGTTTTTAGATTTTTCTTGTGATATGTGTCGTCCATAATTTGGTCTTGACATAGGAAATCGAAAGAAGGCATATCTATTAGCTGTTAATAAATATAAGCTCTAAAACATGTTGTTGTCTGTGGGCAACATTGGGCCATAAAGGGTTAATATTTAGAAGAAATAAAAGAACTTTCTTAATAGTTTATTTAGTTTAGTTTATTTATTATTTCTACGAAATAATATTCTTTGATACATTATTTTCACAATCACTGGTAAATAGCTGTTTTACTAGAGTACTGTATTTGATTTTAGACATTTTTATATAATTATATTTGCAGTAAGTCAAAATTGGAAACTAGACACATGTTATTGTAATAAGATCTATTTAAGAATGATGTACATAAGAATCGAAATAGGTGTAGAAACCAGCCCCTGTATTCTGTAACTTTTTAACAACATTCGATATTGTTTATTTTACAACAATTTCATTTGTTTGTTTTATTGTTTTTACAATAACAAAGAAATTTATACAATATCGAATGTTGTTAAAAGTTACAGAATAGACCTACATGTGCTTTAGTTTTGTCTATGCAAAACAATTCCCTTATCCATAAATTATTATTTATAATGAATTTTGTATTAATGCTTCTGTGTGTGTCTTTATACCCTTCACCACACTGTGGTACAGGGTATTATGTCTTTGTGCATATGTTTGTAACAGGCAAAAGGAAACGAGATAGACACATGGTTCCTTTTGAGAATATGCATAGAATCACTTTCTGATTCGATTTATACAAGTCCGTCCGTCCGTCTGTAGATGTTAAATTGTAAACAAAGTACGATTTGAGGTAAATGGTGTACCAAAGTCCCTACATATCATTCGATTTGTATGAAATTTGGCACAGAGTACTGAATTAGGTGCAGAATGATGTGTGCCAAGTTTCGAGAAAATCGTTTGAGATTTAGATATAGCTCCCATATATAGTTTCGTTCGATTTAATTCTAGAATGTTCCTACAAAATTTCAAGTGAAAATCTCACGAACTCTTGAAGATATAGCCGATTTATTGTGTTAGCATCAAGTGACGGCTAAAGGGCTTCTCAAACTTTAAACACGTTTTTCTCAAAACGAATGGCGGGCACGATAACTCAGAAACTAATAATCCAATCGGTTTCAAATTTTGACACGTGTCTCTGGGAGTGTGTAGCTCTCGTATGAACTAGGATAAAGCCAATCGGTGAAGATCTTCCTTATTTTTTAACTTAGTTTGTGATAAAAAATAGACGATTTTCCATAAACAAATTTTCAAAGTTCCGCCATTTTGTTAATTGTTGTGCGAAGTCAATAATCCTAGTTCATACGAGAGCCAGACATGTTATCTTTCTAACACAGTTGGAATTTTCGGATTCCGATGTTCCAGTGAGGAGTTATCATGCCCGCCATCGAAAATATGGACTTTTCTTTGAACCCAAAAAACAACAACAACAAATTTTGGTAAATTATTTTTCTTCCTTTTTACATCTTCAAATATATATGTGCCAAGTTACAAACCTTAACAAGCATTGGTATTCATTTACCAGCCTATTTAAAATCTTAAAAATAAAAAATCGAGAATGGGGGGGTTCCCTTAAGGTAAATGGTGCACCAAAGTCCCTATATATCTTTCGATTTGCACGAAATTTGGTACAGTATACAGAATTAGGTCTAGAATGATGTGTGTTAAATTTCGCGAGAATCGGTTCAGATTTAGATATAGTGTTATAGCCACACCAATGTTTATAATATAATTTATAACGAACCACCTTAATATCTTTCTTTTCTATAAATTATAACGAACCACCTTACTGTTTAATTGTCAATTTTTCTTTTCACCTATTCGTAAACAAACCAAATTTAACTTCCGTACTATTTAACTAATTAATTATCATTAACTCCAAATAATTGGGTCAACTTACAAAAACTAAGTAATAATTCATATTGTCAAGTAAGCATTTATTTTAAGTTCAATCACTTTATAAAATTAAAATCCAAAATCATCAATTCCAAAGAACTGGGTCACAATAGTAACAGTTCTTCGGAAATATTAAAATTAAGATAAGCATTATTCTCATGTAAAAATCATATAAAAGCATCAATAAAAATTGTAAAATATCAGTTAGTGTTCAATTTTGAAAATAAATTAACATCGCTCGAAACTTAAAACCGTGTTTTTTTAAAATAAAGAAAACGGTAAAACTAAAGTGGCGCAGTCGGTAGGATCCGCGAAATACATTACGAAGGATATGTATTTACGTTTCAACGTTTTATCGCGGAATAAAAAGGATCTATAAAAATAGATCCTCCGGAGTTTTTTTTTTAAAAAGGATATTAGAAAATAATATCCTTATCAGTGACAAAAGTTCACATCCATGAACTAAGGACGAATATTAATCGATAATATTCCTTGTCGTGTAAAAAGGATCCGCGTAATACTTAACAAAAGTTTACGGTTTCACGCGGAATCAAAGACAGAAAGGACCTAAAAAATAGATCCTCTACTATTTAAAATAAGGATTATTAAATAATAATATCCTTATTCGTTCGCGAATTTAAAAAAAGGAATATTAATCGATAATATTCCAATTCGTGATTAAAAAATATATTATACGTGGAATAAAGAACAAAGGACCTAAAAAATAGATCCGTTAAAAAAAAGGATTATTATAAAATAACATCCTTAATTATTCCGCGAAATAAAAGAATATTAATCGCTGATATTCGAAAAAAATAGACAAAAAAAAACTAGTGACAAATTAACAAACAAACAAAAGAAGCAGATTTCCAAAGACGCAGTTTTCCAAAGACGCAGATTTCCAAAGACGTTGATCTCCAAAGACGCAGATTTCCAAAGAAGCAGATTTCAATAAAGAAGAGAAGCAGTATACTAAAAGGACGCATAAAAAGGACGAGCCCGAGTGAATTTCCAAAAACATTGTAAGATTAAAATATGATATATTTTTATTAATATAATTAACATAACTATATAATAAGGAGCTACCATACATATTATTTACCTTTCTTTAATTTGTTTTCACCTTGAATTATTTAAAAACAAAAATCCATGAGCGAATCTGAAATTTCGGACTACCCTTCAGACTTAGATTACGAAATAGAACCAGAATTTATCGACTATATAGAACAAACTCTCGATTCAGGATTTGAATCAACGGAGGGTTATTTAACTGACATTAACGATAATATCAGACTAGAAGTCAATAATCAAACAAGAAATCGTACTAGAAACAGGATAATTAATAGAAAACGTAGACTTCAGAGAAGAAATTTGTAAAAACAAAATGCCTAACGACAATTCAACTCCCCTATCGATCACTATCGATCCCCTTAAATATTTAGGTACACTTCCCGAATTTACCGGAGACTATCGAGATCTTCAAACCTTCATTAACCTAATAGAGAGAGTTCATCCTCTTCTCCAAAGATACGATGAACCATCTCAATATTTATTTTCTGACATAATAAAAAGCAAATTGAAAGGAAAAGCTAGGGAAATAATTGAAATAAATTGCCAAGCACAATCTTGGAATGAGATAAAATCGATACTTATGAATAACTTTGGTGAAAGACAAAGTTTAGAAGAATTATTTGACAAATTAAAGAGTGTTACTTTTAAAACTAACAGTGTTGATTTTTATAATGACATTAAAACCCATCTAAGAAGTCTCAATAACAAAACAATTATAACATTAGGAACAGGACCAGGAACTAATGAATGTGCCAAAAATAACATGAAGACAGCCCTAAACATATTCAGAGAAAAGTTACCTGAACCTATGAAGACTATAATTACATGTAGGAATCCAGATACATTAGAAATAGCAATGGATATATTATTTCAATCAGGTTATGCATATTACACTACATCAAACGGAGTGTTTAATACTACTCCAAAACAATTTAATCAACAAGACAACAATAAACACAAACAAGAATACAGAAACCAAACACAAACACCACAAAACAATGACAGACCCCAACAAAACAATTCAAATAACCATAATAATTTCCAAGGAAACAAAAATTACAGACCAAGACCAAATCAAGGATATAGGAACAATAATCAAATCAATAGGAACTTCAATGGTAATAATTATCAACCAAGGGACAATTATTTTCAACAAAATAGATATGTAAACAATAATCCAGCCCAACCAAATTTTCAAAATAATTGGAAACCCAATTTCAATCATGTAAACAGACAGCCTGTCCCAGAACCAATGGACATAAATATGGTTCAAAATCAGGCACAAACTTATAATAATGAACAGTACTTCGATAAAAATAACCAAATATACTCAAATGCAGAACAACAATATTCAAATTACCAAATACATCCTAACAATCAAGAAATATCAGAACATCAAGATCAAAATAAACACGATATTCCTCAAAATTTTCTTACACTAGCCTCCGGGGCCAATTACCCCATATAATATCTTAAATTTATTATAGATACCGGAGCTACTCATTCGATAGTAAATCCCGGTCTATGTAACCCAAAATGGAAAATTGAATCTGGATCTTTAATACTAAAAACTCTTCAAAATCAAGTCAAAACAACAACAATATATAGTGTTCCTTTATTTACCGAATTAGGAAATGAAAACGAAAAAATTCAATTGATTGAATGCACATTTCATGATTATTATGATGGAATAATTGGTAATGATGTACTA